GACACCTGTCTTTCAAACCAAGACACAAGTCCATTTCTTACAGCAGCACCCCTGCCCTTGCTAAAGGAGCTCTTGGCGTTAGCACTGCTGCAGAGCCGGGGAGGACACTAACAGGGGGTTGCGCTACTACCAAACTACTGCACACGTTGAATAAATAAGATTTCTTCCCTTAAACAGGGGGCACCATCTGATCTGATCCACAAACATCAACCAGAAAGGAAAAGAAACAACCAAGAGTGCAAGTACCCTACACAGCGTACTAGAAAAACTGTTTTCTAGGACAGGCCAGAAGAGGCATTTTCAGGCAGGTTTCTCATTGCCTCTCCCCAAGGGCACCTTACAGTTTGATGGATTTGCTTTTAACAGTAAACAGAAGGAAAGAAGCGGTGTTCTTGTTCACCTCACTCCAGGGGAAAGCACGTGCAGAAGGTTTCGTTTTCACCTTTGTTGCTCCTCCAGGCGGCAGCACCAGTTGTAGGGTCGGTTAAATTCCAGTTACCTCTGCAGCACAGGCACTCTGGATCCGCCGTGCCGCAGGCTGTTACCGCCAACGCCAGGCTAACGCTAACCAAGAATTTAAAGCAGCAAATCGGTCTGAGGAACACCACAGACTGCCATTGCCTTCCTGGGCACCAGGGTCATTGCTTCCATTGTTCGGTCAAGCTCTGTTTCTCACAGCACCTGCCTGTCACACAGGCAGGTTATTCCAGAATTGCTCATCCGATACCCCCAAAAGCGCCCCCTTTCCAGCCTCAGTGTAATCACAACTGGATCCCGTTCTCCTGTTCTTGTGCCAACAGTGACAAAGAAATCTCTGAACTTTATTTTGCCAAGAAATCCTTCAGCAGTGTTTGTATTTACAACCCCATGCCCATCTGCTAGGTATATATTAAACCTACAAGTTTAGCTTGAAAACTAAAGCTTCTCTTCCAGTTATTTTTTTTGCAGCCTCAGTGAGCCTTTGTTCCAAAATCTTCAAAGAAAGGCCCAAGTTATCACTCCCTTACACTCCATTCAGGCTGCACTTCCATGCAGGAAGGAAACACAGCCAACTGCAAACTGCTCAGGGCTCATCCATAAACGCGTCTGTAGGACAGTGATGGAAGCGTTCTGCCTGTCCAGACAGCACTGGTATACAGGCTTGTTTTGTTTAAACAAAAACCAAAACCAAACCAAAAGTCCCCAAACCAGCTGCCTGGAACCACAGCCAAAGTTACACTGTGCAAACAAAAATCCAATGATTGAAACCAGAGTTCACTGAAGAGTTGGGAATGCCAGCAAAGGCTTTGCTGTCTGTGAGCTCTCCTGCACTCACAGGAAGAGAACCAAAAAAAAAAAAAAAAGAAAAAAAAAAAAGACAAAGACCTGCAGTGATTTGCTTTATAAAACTCACCCCAGAGCCCAACTGTTCTCTCTTTGAAGACAAACAGCAAGACCATCCTGGAAGAGGGCAGTTTCTCTACGAGGTTAGGAAAGCCCTCGCTTAAGACGTGTTGCTGCCATCTGGTCCCACAGCCCACGTACAATCAGTTCCTGTTGAATAGAAAGCCAGTTTTTAAGCTGTAACTGGTTTTCTCTTCAGCTTCCCTGCTAAATGTCTTCCCCCTACTATGGTTAGACGGGGAATGATGCTTTTTGTCAGGTTTAAGGGTGCTGAATATATTTGTGAGTGACAGTATTTGAGATGGCCACTGAAAAGAGGGGCTGCTCCGCAGCACATGTGGACAAGGAGCGCTTTTAAAGAAAGCAAGATGAAGTCAGGACGTGTGCTGGACTCTGCTTCTTGATAGAAAACCCGTCCTCCTACAGAGGAGGAACAACCATCCCTTCTCCAACTCCAACTCTCTTCTAGAAACACCGTCTGTCTTGCACAAAGGCCCAGCGTGCAGGCTGATGCAGAACGGCCAGGGCAAGAGGCAGCTGTAGGACAAACAAATGACACCTGCCATAGGACTAAAACCATTCAAAATAACTTTATAAATTCTGTCACATTTCTGCTTTGTACATCGGTTCAGCCTTATCCCTCCAGCTTGTTACTGAAAATTCACAATGCTTGTTTCCGTTTTCTCCCGAAAGGCAGGCACAAAGCCAGCCATCAGTGCATTATTTACAGAAGTGCAACACAGCCTCCCACCCCCAACTCCAACTTCTCACTAATACTTCCAAGAGAACTATTGAATAAACACCACAGCTTGAGCAGTGCTTCTGAAGTCAGTTTATAAAGGTTAGCTCATTCCTGCAATCCCCAAGTGACAGAGCAAGTAAAGCTTTGCTCACCATCGAACGGGCTAAAAATACAACATTTCAAGTATTAAATCAGAAGTTTCTAAAGACAATCCGTATTTCGATAAATAAACACAAGGGAAACAGTATACAGCTCGCAACAGACTGTATAGGAAAAGTGGTGTCCAGTTTCAAACTTTTAGCAAGACAGGTGCACAGCCCAAAAGTGTGATCAAAGAAACCCTGAAAACTGCAGCAATCCGGGAGTCCCAAACATTAATCTCTTCTGTGTTTCCCCTCGAATTACTCTGCTGGTCTGAGGCATTTGATTGTTATTTATTCTACATCTGTAGGTAATCAAAAAAAAAAAAAAAACCCAAGTTCATTCCCATATGGAAACAATTCAAAAGAAGGTTCCGCAGATAAGTCCTATTATAATCCTCTTCTCTGCACTTCACTTCCAACGAGACACAACTGCAGGTCTGTTATTCCCCGGCACAGTGTTCGCAGCTGGAGTGAGTTCAGTCCAAGTCATGCTGGCTGTGACTCGCTCTGTTCTCCACTTCACGTGTATCCTCGCCATCGGATTTCTTATGTTTTCTCATATGCTTGTATTTTTCCACGTAGGCCTTCACCAGGTTAGCTACCTTCATCGGGTTGATCTCCCCACTTTTGCTGTGGCAGATCTAGAAGGGATGAGAAAAGGCATTCGGTCAGTTCGCAGCAGAATTTCAGCAGCTCAGGCAGGTGACAGACAAGTGACAGAGAAGCCCTAAGCTTCCCAGGGGAACTGATTCCTGCATAGACACTCGAGTCTCACAGCAGGATACCTACAAAGCAGAAAACTCAACAAGGGTAAGAGCAATATTTTACTTCGAGCATTCCAGAAATGGCTCAGGGCTGATCTACTGAGCACCAACTGAAGGCAAAAGCATCTCTGAAAGTACAACTACTCACTCTTACTACAGGCCTTTGCATCCAGACAGTTTTACACAATCCACGGCAACCAAGGAAGTGTGGATTTCCCATTTTTCTGATGATTTTGAGGAAGCAGTGCTCAGATTAAAAGAATCTCACAGCTTTAAGGGCCCATTTTGAGATACAGGAGAAAGAGAAGGGACCCTACAAAGAACTTTATCAGTGTTCAGAGAAGAGTTCCCAGTGACTTGAGGAGCAATTGGTGTTGCTCAGCTCTCTTACAAACCACACTTGAGGTTCATATGGGTCATGTAGGAGATGTGAAATTGCAGCCATTATCTCAGGAATTTTGACTTATGATGGAATTTCTCAGTGACAGCAAGAATACAGTTCTCAGGGGTATCGTTTAACTGCCTTGACCACAAGAGCGTTCCTTGCTCTCACAAGACAACATTTATCTGCTGATCAGGTCTTTTTTTTAGCCACAATCTAGTCAGCACTAAGACTGGAGACAAATGTCAACACCAGCCAAACGGCAAGGCCCTCTTCCAAAGTTCAGGGACACACAGATGCTCAAGGAATTAACGCAAAGAGTATTTTCTCCCTTTATCAGAAACAGTTTGATGATTCTGGTTCACGTTCTTAACGAGAAGGATTTGACCATTCCCACCCGAGGCACGTACCACCCAACAGCTCGGTCAGGCAGCTCAAGCTCAGCGACGGTCCGTACCACCGCAAACACGCTCCTCAGGAGGTAACAGCCTGACGGGGCTCACCGGTGGCACCACCCAGGCCTGCTCACGGCTGCTACGGCCTCGGCCCACGGCTGCAGAGCACGAGTCAAAGACCTGCTCCTCAGCTACAGCACGGCGTGGCTGAAGCTGGCAAGTGTGACCCAACGTGCAATCCACTCACGTAACGACCCGCACGGCTCCTCCGCGCGGGTTCACGCTCACCTCACCTTTTGCACCGCTTTTCGAAGAATGTTCTTGTACTCCTCCTTTGTAATCTCCCTCTTCTGGTAAAAAGGTTTAATGGCAAGTTTCACTTCTTCCACAGCCCGTTCCTGCATGTGAAGCTTCTTCATGTACTGCACGGGCAAAGAGAAGTTCATTACCTTGGGCTACCTCGGGAATGGATTCTGAACCCATTTTTCTTAGAAATGCTCTAACAATGAAAATACTCATTTCACAACCTCAACGACCCAAGTAAGAGCTTGCTTCGAGGTGATTTCCTTACTGTAAACTACAGCCTCAGAACAGATGCCAGTTCGTGCGACGAGAACCCTTGTTTTATGCAGCATTTATTCTACCTCTTAAAGGATGTGTTTTAAGCAATTGACTACAACATCCACCTATTAATTTTGGTCTCCTGCTTCCCTTCCAACAGCTCTGAAGGAAACATACATCCATCGAAACGCATCAGATCCTAGAAGCAGCCGGTCATAGCTGTGAATATAAAGCTTCAAGTAGCTCTAAAGGCATTCTGAAAATCGCAGAGCTGCCTATACATTAAGGATTACAGATGATATCAGAACATAGTCTATCAAAACAAGTTCATAAAAACTGCTGCTCATAAATGGAGGTTCAGTGGGAGAAGCATCTTACTGTTTTGTTTTGCAGCAGAAAGTACAAAAATTGGCCAAGAAGTTTTTGTTCTTGTGTTAACATCAGCTCTGCTTAGAGCAGATGGTCTGTACAGCAAACCCCAAATTCAGCAGCAAGGCACTAACACTGCAAAATCTCCAAAGTATTTCACCATCTCTGCATTTTCAGTGCTTATAAGCAGCAAGACACAGTCCTACTTCTCTGCAGGACTGTTATGAGAATTGACATTAATTTCGAAGCTGGAGGGGAAAGGAGAACACCAGGCACCATATAAATTTGGACATTCTGGCTCCCGGAAAGTCCCTTCCAAACATTCATGCAAGAATGCTTCAGAACTGTAAGAATGTATTTTAGATGCTAAATCCCCCTCTGTCTTACTGCAATGAAGCAGTAGAAAGTGGAACCATCAAATGGAGTGAATCCCAAAAAAATTCAAAGGAAGGACTGCCTGCCGCTCCTGGGTTAGCACAGTCAGTCACCAAAAACAACCGTGACAACAGGGGCTGGGGAAATACAGCACAGAGACAGTTAAACACCCCCAAACTTGAACAGTTCAAATAAACAGCTCGTTAGCGTTATGCACGTGCCACTCGATAGTATTCACTCACTTCCTCGTTTTTTGTTTTGTCCACTGGAGGTTTGGGTGCTTTGATCTTTTCTTCCACGTTTCCAACCAAAGCAGCCTGGATTCCCGGTTCAGACGCAGTAGCCAGGCTGCCCGGCTCCGGAGGCAGGCTCTGTCCGGCCATGCAGCCGAGCGCTGGAAGACTGCCCTGCATGATGAACTGCACTGTGGGCTGGCTCACTGGGGCGTAGGGGGGAAGGCTGGAGGGCAGAGGTGGTGTCAAAGGTACATTCTGACAGTACACCTGTAAGAGAGGTATCGTTTAGTAAATGCTTGTACTTAGGAAGGAGAGCATCAGATCAGGATTTTCAGAGCACCTTTTATCCCCTCAAACAGGCAAGAAATTACCAGTTTAAACCAGGGAGGGGAACATCCCAGCCCTCCAGCAGGCCTCTGGGCACCAGGAGCTAGCAGCAGCCCTCTTAACTGGTGGGACAGCACAGACTAATGGCACGGACCGGTGCCACCGGCCCAGTTTTACAGCCTGATCACAAGCAGGGTGAAGCTGCCAGCTTCCCCAACAGCACCATCTTTCCACAGTTACTGCTGAAACCAGGAGCTGCCTGCACAGAGCAGAACCAAGAGAAAATGTGCTGCCCCAACTGTAAAGACCACCCCGGGAGATCAAACGGTTAGAGGAGCGCTGAGGTGTATGGGCTGTATGAGATGTACCACAAGCAGAGGAAGGCACGCTCTGCCATGAGAGGAGGGTGTTGCACAACGAGGGCACGGATGAGGTGGGATGCCTTCCATGACACTTAGGTGCCAGAAAAGGAACCAACCTGAGAGGAATCTAGATCAGGAAACATAGGCTCAGGAATCATATAATTGGTTGGAGGAGGCTCATTTAACTGCACCTGATTTAATGTTTGGTTCAAGTCCTCTGCTTTCCAGGCCCCTTCTTTCGCTCGCTGAAGTTTGTAAAATGGCATCCCTAGGTTTCCCAAGAGGAGGAAAAGAAAACATTTAAGAATGGAATAAACCTAACAGGTCAAAGATTCAAAGCCAATCATATTTTTAAAAATTAAAATAAAAAGGATCTAACAAAGCTAGCTATAAAAGAATTTTGTTTAGCAGTCATCAACATTTTAAAGCTGCTGATAACACAGAGGACTCATCATCCCGTTGAGCAGCTGCTTTTTACTGGGTTTCTACGAGAGTAACCAACGAGAACCACACAAGCAACTCTGTCCACACACACAGTGCAGGGTCCCAAGCCAAACTGTTTCCAGCAGCTTTCGCTCAGCAGAGCTCACAGGGATTTGTCACGCTCCTTGGTCCCGAGCAGTATTTGTAAGCTCTGAAGGCCAAACCACCGTTCCAGTTAACCGCAGGAAGGGCGGAACGCGGGCTGCCAGTTCGGAGAGCAGGTGGCAATGACGCGCTTGACGACCAAAGGAGCTGCCGCCGGCCAGCTGAGCCATGCTGACAGCGCGTCCTCTCCCATTCACTATCACCACTCACCTCGTGGTTTCAGCGAGCGCAAAACACCAGCTCGCAGGACTGGAAACCACAGGGCCAGCCCAGCTCAGATGACAGAGCTGTTGCACCGCAACCAGGTTCAGCCAGGCACCGAAACCCAAGCCTTACACAGCCTGCTTCAGCCGCTGTTTGCTTCCCAGGAGAGACACTTACTTGGAGCTTTTCCAGCAGACAACACGCCGCTTTCTTCCTCTTGAAGATTCCAGGTAACCCTTTTCACTGGTGCTTTTGACTTCAACGCAGGACCCTGAGGTGCCACCTCCAGTCCAGGCTTACTGAAGTCCCCAGCCTTCTCGCCTGACACAAGGCACTCGTCTTTAACCTCCTTTGCACAGTCTGTTCTTTTGCTTTTGCACAAGCTTTGACTTGGTGCAGCCTCAGCCGGAGCGTGCACGGTAACCTCTTTCTTTGGGGGCGCTTCCATCAGCGATGGACACAACGCGGTATTTTCTATTTTGACTGTAATCTCGAGGTTTGTATTGCTACAGCTACCCAACACTGCTGGATCGCTACTGCTCATCAACTCTCTTTCGGCAAAAGAATCCACCTTGCCAACAGGAACACAAATGTTTGTGACCTCTGGCACGGGGAATGCAGCTTCACTAGTCACTTCCTGACAGATGGGCTCTACCTTTACAGTTTCTTGGGCCTCTCTCAGTCGAACCAGAGTCTCAGCTGGTCTTTCCTCAAGTTTGACATTTGGTTGGATGGTTATGGAAAGCTCTTCTAGCACGAGCTCCTCCTTTGGCTCTTGTTTGAAGGAATGGGGTTGCTCCAGACACCTGGACACACTTTCAACTGAAGGCTTTTGATCTTTTTCTGGTGGAGGAGGAAGCGAGCTCTCTTTTGATCTGCATTTTCTTTCTTTGGAACGTGATCTCGATCGTGGCCTTTTTTCCTTTGATTTGCTGCTTTTGTGCTCCCGAGATCGAGACACAGACCGAGACCGAGACCTCCATTTTCTCCTCTCCCAAGACCTGGATCTCGACCTCTTTCTGTCCCTTGACCTCAAGCCGCTATCTTTATCATACCTCTCATAGCTTTTGTCTCTCCTGTGTTTCCGTCTTTTAGCCCTCTCAGTGCTGTTCGATCGGGAACATTCCCTCCGTCTTGATCTCGACCGAGACCGCCTTTTCTTTTTCCTATTTTCATAAAACTCAGAAGTACTTCCAGGACTACCTGAACGTGACCTAGATTTCCTTTTCTCCCTAGACCAAGAACTTTTTGCCTTTTTATCCTTGGTTTTGTCCTTCATTTTCCTTTTTTTAGATCGTTCATGACTGCTAGAACGGTCAGTAGAAGACCTCCTGCGCTTGGCTTTCAGTGTGTGTGTTTTGCTGTGCTCTTCACCACCTGACCAAGAGGTAGATCTGGAGCTTCGGTCCCTTGAGTGTGCTCTCTCTCTAGACCCTGATCGGGATCTCTTACGCTCTTTCACAAGTGCCTTTTTCCTTTTCATCTTCTTCTTGCTTCGGGAGCTAGAGTTCGAACAGGATCTGGAACGTGATTGCCTCTCTGTTTGTTCTACCTTTTGGAGTTTCTGCTGCCCATCATCCTTTGAGGGACTCTCTGGTTCTAGTTTTAAACTAGTATTAGGTCTAAGCAATTCTTCAGCATTAAAGAACACATTAGGGCCCTCTCTGCTTTCCTCCTTTAAACATTCTGCGTTAGAAATCTGCTTAACAGCAGATGAAGTGCAAGGACTGCTTAGAAAGCCTTCCTCCTCCATATTGTCTCGCTCCTCTGTATCAGAGATCTGTTCTACAATCCTGCTTTCCACTTTCACATCACCATGAGACTCTGTGTCACCATATGGCACATCAGAGTCAGCCCCAGAGCCAAATATATTTTCTACCATGTAAGGGGTGAAACGACGGACAGTTTGAAATGTTTGAACTTTCGGATTTTCAATGGAAATAGTCCTGGTAATATTAGTTAGTGGGATCCCCAAGCCAAGCCTTTCAGGACTGTTGCCTGCTGAACTCGAGTCCGACCCTGTTGGCTCGAAGGGATCATATATTTCACTTTTGACCTGCTTTTTCTTAACTGAGAAAAGAGACGAAGGACTCTCTTTCTGTTGCACTTTGTCGTCCACGGGGCGGAAGGTGTTACAGAATCCTGGGTGGGACAGCCTGCTGGGATGTCCTGCATTTCCAGGAATATTGATTTTAAAACTCTCGAAAGAGCTCGAGCCTTTGCTCCTCGAAGCGCCCAGTAGCGAGGAACTGCCATACATGCCCGTACTGGTAGGAAAAGATGTCCCGCTTGCATGTGTTGGTGGCTGAGACTCCTTGGCGTTTGACTTCTGACTTTCCACCCTGCCACCCTTCCCCGGCTGGGTAGTGCTCTCTTTGCCAGTCAGCTGGGTGATGCAGGAGCTGGGGATGTCACAGCTTTGGCTTCCTGCAGGTTCTGGCTCTGCCTGCTTGCTGCTGGTTTCCTTTTTAATCTTTGGTATCCTGGGAAGCTCAAAGATGTCGATTCTCTTGGGAGGCGGTTTTAATGGCTGCCTCACGGTCACAGCTTTTGAGGCAGAATTCAAGTTACAGCTCAAGGGCTTTGAAGAAGAGTCAGTGCGTGCAAAGTTTTTAGAGTTTCCATTAAATCTGGGCATTTCATCTAATTTGGAGCCATGCCTGCTCAGAATAGCTATATTCTGAGTCTGAACAGACCTGGGTGTCATTGAATAGTCTGATTTTACAGTTGCCTTTTCTGGTGTTGTGTGTGCGGGATTTGCTGCAGGCTCGATCCTGCTGAGTGCAGGTGAAGGTGATGAAAATAAGCTGAAGGAGGAGGAGAAGGGTCTGGTGTGAGTACTCAGCCCCGAGGAAACTGAAGGTCCAGCAAGAGAGCTGCTTGCTGTGGTCCCTGAGTGCACTGTACTCGGTTGGGTGCTGTGTCCTGAACCATCATCCACTCTCGAGTCATTCGCTGATTTTCTATGAACTGGAGCTGTGGCACACAACCAAACAATTAAGCTTTTCAGTACGTAGCTGACATTTCCCCCCAACATTAAAAGAAGTACCGAGCTAATGACTTGAAGTTCCACTTTGATTTGCAGACATACCACACAGTATTAAGGAAGTTCAATAGTTCTTTACGTCAGATGCTCAAGGTTTAATACCAGACAACTGCATCTTTGAGGTAAACACTCATGTTTAGCAAATAAATTATTCTGTTCTGTAGATATCATCAGATTCCTGTTTATTACCCCATAGTTGCTGACTGATAAAAATGACTATAACAAAGGATGTTATATTTTAAGAATAAAGCTCTAGGTTTCAATTTGAAGAGATTCTTTCCAAATAATACCATGCCAGGAGAAGACACAGCTGAAGATGCCAGCACATATTCTAAAGCTCTGCTTTTGCAAAGAAACTCCTTGCTAAAGTCCTCATCACTGCTCTTCAAACCAAAGTACAGTTCAGAGGCAGGGCAGCAATGCATGAGAAACGCCAGAAGAACTGGGTACTAAGATACCTCTGCTCTATCCAGTCCTCCATTTTTAATAAAATCATGAAACCGCAGTGCATTACTTTTGAAAGAGAAAAACTAATTAAAATCAAAATCCGCCAGTAACATCTCAGCACTGCAATTAAAACAGAGACAAGTAACACTATTCCAGAACATACATAAGAATCTTATCAGACAGATTACTGCTGGCAACTGCTGGGTCTATCCCACATATTCGAAGGCTCAGTAGGAGTGTCCCTGCGCTTGAAGCTGTGCAGCCTGTAAGGCCAGAGCAGACGTGGATGAACCCAAGAGGCTAATCGCGCTATGAAGTGCCAAACCCTTACCTGCCTTCTTCGCTGACAGTGACCCATCTCTGTTGATGACCACATCTGAACTACTCATCATGAGAAAGCTCTGTCCAGACAAGATACTTCCCAACAGATCAGGCACAGGGGCGGCTTCTGCTTCTTGATCAGGACTCAAGGCAGGCACACTGCTTCTGCATGTTTCAGAGGGGTTATATTTCCTTTACTCTTACAGCACTTGTTCTACACACACACATTACATTAAAAAGAAACCAAAACCAAGGGCATAAACAGAGGTCAGCCAGGGAAGTTCACTTGCAGTTTTGGCTTCACTAGAGTCATTCAGCCCCCATCTCCCTCTGACAAACAGAAGGTGAAGCTTTTACTGACTTCCCACAGGAACACCTCAGGATAGGAAAGCATGTAATCCTACAGAGACCTTCGGTAAGCAAATGCTTTTGCTCTTACTTAACAGTGGTGCTTACTGTGTTGTGTATCAAAATGAACTTTCCAGTGCATTTAAGATGCACTTTTGAAGCATAAACCATTGTTCAGCACTTCAGAGATACTTCCATCCGAGCTGCTTCTCTTCCCCCCACTGAATCACAAAGGTATTCCTCAGGCCCACACCGCCATCTAAAAAAACCGATGCAGCTCGAGCCAGTGTTTAGCCCAGTGAGAATACACAGAGGAGCCTACTGGCAGGGTAGCCAAGAGCATGGTGCAGGAGGAATGACACTGAAAACCAACAGCAGTGCCACACACACTGGCAATACACACACTTCCCTTTACGCATCACTCACTCAATCTTACGCAAACGGTTCAACTGCAAGTTCGCTGTTCTTGACACACAGACTGAAAAGGTCCAAGTGTTTTTGGTGTTGGGGTGTGGGGTTTTGTTTTTCTTTCTTTGCTTTTGTGTTGTAGGGATTTTGGGGTTTAGTTTGTTCAGGCTTTTTTAAATTAAAAAAACACCACAACCCTCAAAATGGACCATTGACCCAGCTCTTCAAGGGAGCTATATTTAATTTCTGTGTGACACCAAAGCAAGCTTTCCAAACGTAACGTACACCAAAAGCCTGTAATAACACGCGACAGAAAGACAAAATGAAAAAGCTAAAAACTGGCTGCCCAGGCCAGACCAGGAAACTCACTGCAGTCCAGTTAAACCACGCCTTTAGAAAAGCTGAATTTCAGCTAAACAGTTCTACTTTCTACGCCGTGTGCAACTCGAGTAACTCTGTGGACACTGAAAGCTTCCTGAAAGGCTTCCTTCAGGATTGAGATGGGAAAGGTAGGGAAATATTCCACGTTCTCATAGATGTACACTATCTCAATCCTGAGGAGTCGACCTTGGCCAGAAGTCAGACACATTTGAGGACAGCCATCGAAACACCTCACACCTTAAACACTTAAGCTGGGCTCCCTACATTTCTCCCAGTCTTCAGCTCCCTCAGCCGTGTGATTTTCTGCGATTCAGTTGATACCTGCCTCGGTCGTTTCCCTCATCCCTTTTCTTCCCATCACACTCCTGCTCGCTGTGTCCTTCCCCTCTGCACTGCACCTACACTCCAGTCCCAAAAACCCATCGCGGCTGCTCGTGGGAGGCGCCCAGCAACGCTCCCTGGCCCCAGTGCGCGCAGGGGCACACAAATTGCACACACAGAGACATCTGTCAGACAGCAAAGCAACTGTTAAATTGCAGGATCAAACAGTTTTCTCTCAATTTTCTGAGCTCCAACAAACAGCAGAGGAATTGGGTGAGGTGGGTACATCCCTCATCTCCTCCTCTGGATGTGCAATCAGGCTCCCCAACCCTCTCAAATAAACATGGGGGTTTTTTAAAGGTTAATGAGACTGGGATTTAAAACATACTAATAGGGTTACTAAATGCTCCCAAAAGAGCCAGATTAGGGTGGAAATATCAATCTGAAATTTCAATGCAATAGTTAAGGGCTATTATGAAAGAATGAGCATGTGTCCTTCAACATAAAAAAAGAATCCTTGCATAAAATGCTATGGTTATTGATCTACACACGTGCAGGCACGTGTGCACACACATACACACATGCTCTTCCAAAATACTCAGTGTAAGAAAAGAGTTAAACAAGGATGACCACCCAGTTTGCTCTTTTGTTAGGGTTATTAGGCAATTAAGAAAAATAAAATAAAATAACTTGATGGATTTTTACCTGGGAAGTCCCACAGAAATAGGTCTAGCTACAGGACGGTGAGATCTCAGTGCTGACTGGGAGAGAACTCTCCTTTTGGCACTCACTGGTGAATCTGGATTTGCTGGAACCTCTTCATTACTGTGGGTAACACACACACAAACCATGAAATTGTTGGAAAGTTTTTCATGTCAAATAGATGAAGTAGGCAATACTACTAGGACAGATACGGTTAGAGCGCACTGTTTGTTTTGATACATTAAAAACCGATTTGTGCAATAGACTTATTTTCTGTGGCTGCATAAACAGAACAGCGTAACTCAGCCAGTAGAGATTCAAATGTAGATTTTTATTTTAAAAGTATTAAATGGGTGATTTCCTCTTATGAGAGGATGAAGATGACTTAGTCAGTGGAAAATTAAATCTCACCAACAGTAATTTCAGATGCCCCCTCCCCAAAACCCAAAGCTGAAGAGTGACACAAACTATGGCACAGTAAGAGTCCTCCTGAATTTCAAGTGTCTGGAAAAGCGAAGATGGGAAAAGCAGAAACATGGGAGACTCCACAGGTCCATTTAATGATACGTGAAGTCATTTACTGCATACCAAATACATTATCTTCACTTAAATAAATTGAAAATGACTGATTAGCATCAGACTCCTTCAGATTCTAGCCTTTGAATAACCCCACAGATCTTATTAAAGGTTTTCACAAGGCTTGTCATTTCAGCAAACCTCTTTAAAGAAGGCTGATTCTTTAAGAGGTCAGCAACTCAGCCAAGAAGGAAGGAAGGAAAGAACAGGCCGATGTGTTACTAGGAGCTGTGTATCCAGAGCTGTCTTGAGGTGCGAGAGCTACACTCTGCAAAGTCACATGCACAAACCACCTGACACCTGAAATTACCAGGTCCCCGATCATAATCCAGAGACATCTTACCTCTCGTAAGGATCCAGCTGACATGGATCTCCGAACACAGACAGAGAAGCTGCACCGATATCTGCTCTCATCAGACCAAGTGAGGGCTCCGTGGGTTTGTACATGGAAGGAAACGAGGCCCCACGCACAGGTTTACTAATACCAAGAGTTCTTGCAATACGGGAGCGAGCAGTAACCTCATTTTTCACCTGCACAGATAAAGACATTGGGTTATTTGTACGTTAGGGCAGCTACATACCCTGGGTTTAAAGCCCCAAATTCATCACTTGGGCTAAATACAGTCATCAGGTTACGACCGTCAGTAGCAGGAGTGGTGTGCATTTATTGTATTTCTTTTAAAGCATTTATTAAACTTCTAGCTATGGCCTATATGTCACTTCACACAGACTGCACGTATCAGGTTTAAGTGGCCAGATAAGTTCCTAAAAATCTTTAATAATAAGGAACTGACAATTTTAAAGGTTGGAGGGACAGTTCTGGCTGTAGGATGTAAACTCCAGTTAAGGTGGCTGAGGACAAAAAAAGTCAGGCTGGTGCAGAGTATTCGGTACAGTTCACATGAGAACACTATCTGCAACTGAAAGGGATTTTGAGAGCCCTTACAGCTGATTAACTGGATTTGCAACACCACAGACACAAACATCCACAGCCTATTAAAAAGAATAGGTGGTGGCAATTTTAACTGAGCTTGCATCAGTACCAGGCAAACATCGCAGCTGAACGGCAAGGCATAACACAAAGCCTGCAGGACGTGCCTTACAGGGCGATCCCTGCAGCTCAGGTGACAGGATTTTTCAGCAAACCCAGCAGGCCTGCTGGAAGTTGCAATTCGTTTCCATGTACAGCACCTTGCTGGATTACACTGGACACATCCATCCTCCACATACTCCCATTAGAAAAAAAAAGTTACCTGCTACCACTGTAAGACAGTCTTTTTTCCATTCAATCCCACGTTACAGTGCTTTTACACATGGCTAACACATGGCACATACTGACGCTGGCAGAAACTCACATGTGATCTTGCTCTTATCTTCTTCCCCCTTCTCTTCTTCATCAGACGCTTGCGTCTCTTCAGCTGTGTCCCTGAACTCTTCTTCCCAGCAGATTTTGTCTGAGTTCTTTTTTTGCCTCCTACTTTCTTCCTCCTACCTGATGGGACAAAAGACAACCAAGTACCTGGCTAAGTGCTGGCACTGCATTTTGCCCTGTACTCCCCTTTTTATTCCCCCACAGCACACAATGCAGCTCAGAGACCTACAGTGTGCTGCAACAGTACAAAAAAGCAGAGCAGGAAAAGTTAGTTAATTAGGATTTATCTAAAAGCAACCTCCAAGATACTTCTGGGCAGAGGCCGTATGGGGAAAGAAGAAAACGATGTGGTATACACTTCTGTAGCTGCACGGGTATAGCAGCATAGAGCTGATCTAGAGTATTTTGTATGACTCAGGCTTATCTTCCCAAAGCTTTTATTCTTGCAGATGGGAACCACAGAAGGTGTCCGACGCCCTTACCTGTTTTCCTTTTCTGCCTGGTAGGAGCGCGCGGTGTCAGCGGACGCTGGTAGACGGCCGTGTTCAGGCCTGCCACAACCGCCTCAATTGTCTCATCCAGGAGAGAGGACATGAGGTACCTCGGCACATGCTGCATGGGGGACGAGAAGTTACATGATACAGGTGTATCTAAAGGTCAGCAACAAGTCAGTTATAAAAGCATTTGATGCAAAATGGATTTGAGATTCGGATGAGAAGCACTCATGTCACCAAGCTGCCAGTTAGGCCATCACGTCACTTTTCTCACCTACTGACTGCCATATTAAGGACCTTAATATGACCTTGCTCTTCAGCCTCCCTCAGTACTACAAGTCATGGCTAGCCCAACTCTGACTCTTTGAACGAGAACAATCCCCGAGACTGACACTCTGTCAATGAAAAAGTTCACTTGAGAACTTTCCCAGATCCACCTAACCGACCTCTGGCTCATCACGCAGCGAACTGCAATGAGCAAAGAAAAGCCAACACAATATGGGTCCCCTGTCTGAAACGTCTCATCCTTTAGGCCAGATGTACCTAATGCTGTGGAACATGTCCAGAGGCAGCATTTCAATCACACCCCTCGGGGAACTCACTGAAATGGCAGGTGAGAGTCTCCCTCCAGAGCGACAAGCAGGGGCTGCTCCTACAGGGTTCAAATTCTTCCTCCTCTCTATACTCAAGGGTCAACCACATTTAAACAAACACATCTGACTCATATGGATTCTGAACCAGCAGCCTCAGAATGTGAACTCAAAGCCTCCTTGCTGGGCAGACCTAGCACAGGCTTGTTCCTTCCTTCCCTCTGTTGGGAAGACACTAAGAGCAGGTTTCTCTCAACAATATGTGAAGTTAGCCCTGCCCGCACCAACTATATTCCTAAAGTGTCATAGTCATAGAATGGTTTGGGTTGGAAGGGACCTTTGAAGACCATCTAGTTCCAACTCCCCTGCCATGGGCAGGGACCCTTTCCCTACCCCCTCTCCTTTCCTCAAGCAACCACAATGCATCAAGAATTGATAAAAAGTTTCATACGAGTTTATCAGATGCAAAGATGCTTCTGATGTTACAGACTGACTGTGCTTACTTTCTGCTACAGTACATGCATCAGATCCTTGTACATTTACAAAAGGTTTATGTGGCAGAAATGCTAGAGGAGAATGGCTTTAGAGTATCTTGCAATGGCAAAGAAGCTTCAAACTGCAAAATGACTGAAAACAGAATATGCCAACAGAAATATATGCTTTGATTCATCTTACTATGGAAGTATTTTTGCCAGGCTCCTCTGTTAGTGTCACTAACGCATGCTCCAAACTATCTTACTAAGCTATTTTTATTAGAACGCCCTTGTTTTAAGTATTCTGGGTGGCAATAAATACTACACAAGGTTCTCCAATTTGGAGAACAGGATGGAGTAAGGAAAGCCCTGAACATTAACCTAAACGTATGTATTCATAGTTAACCACCACTAGTTTAGTCACCTACAGAACAACAAACGACAAAGCAAACTGCCTCCCCAAATACTAAAGCTTTCCAAGGATCTGAAATCAGCATCTCTCTATGCTTTGATAACAACAGCTTACACGCTCCTTCACCAGTGAGACTAAGCTTCACTCAAGTGAAGGTACGAGCTAGATAAGAGGCACCTTTATTCAGAGACAAAAGGAATAAGTACTAGTGTTTTTCCAGGCACAGTGAGCAATAATCTCTGCAGACAGAGAAGCGGAGCTAGGAACAGCTTCTTGCACAGGAAGCACTGTGCTCCCAGGCTCACACTGCTACGCAATGGTAAAGTCCTCAGGCACCACCGCTCT